GAAGTGCAATCTCCGGTTGAATAGCAGCAACCTCCGACTTCGACTTAACACCCTTCGTTCGCGGGGCCGCCTCAGATCGAGAAGCCGCCTCCTTTTGAGGAACAATCGTCTCCTTGGTCGTGGGACGAACCTTTCCTGGCTTCCCGCAACACCCCATTTAAAATTCAACAACCGGCGCCAGTCGTTCCTCCCCCTCCCCTCAAAACTGATTTCTCAGCGTCAGGCCCTCAGCGTCGAGCCTTCAGCGTCGAGCCTTCAGCGTCGAGCCCCCCGCGTCGGTAGGAGTTAGTAATGCCAGGCCGGAGCCCTTTCGACAGATCTACCTGCCGCGGACTTTGTTGCACGAGGAAGCCGGAAACCTCGAAAGGGTAAGCGCCCAGGGCGCTCCACCAGGTGAGAGGGTTTAGGGTTTAAGTGCTGCGCGATTTTGTGGATCATTACTTCGCCCCCAACGAGCATTGGCGACCGCCCGTCTACTGACCCGAACAGGCACGAGCTTGGGCGCTGCTTGCCTGACCCCTGGCTCGTTCAGGGGCAAAGGAGTGTCCTATGCGAAATCGCACACGTGTGTGCGCGCGTGCGGGTGTGTGCAAAGCTGTGTGTACACGGATTACACGGGCGGTTCTGAGCCTTGTTCTATCCCGCCCCGCGTGACTGTGAATACAGTTTGGCAGGGCGGCCGCCACGGATGCGAGAGGACCGTAAGCAGCCGACCTCTCCGGTCCGTTGCGGTGAGTCCGATTCGCACATCCACTAGCGAATTCCAGATGTGGCCCAGCGCGGGTTGGTTCTCCGAGCGACTGACGTGGTTCAGACAGAGAACCATGGGCTTCGCTCGGAGCCTGCGCAAGGCGCTGACCAGCAACACGAACTGCGCACTACGCCGCCGGTAAAACGTCTTTGGTGAGACCCGAGTCCTTGCCAGGCTTCCGGCCGCCGGGTCTCCGGCAGCCAGGGCACCGGCCGCCAGGTCTCCGGCCCCGGTCTCCGGCCGCCGGCTCCGGCGATAAAGCACGCAGTCGCTGCGGTTCTAACCTTGGTTCGAGTCGGGGACGTCGTACACTAGGTGCGTAGCCCGGTCGGACGCGGTCCGATGAGACGTGGCCGGATCGGACGTTGCCCGGCGGGAGGTTGCCCGGTCGGTCGTTGTAGCGGAACAGTTGCGCCACGGAGTCGATGACGACTACTGAGCAGTCCAGCTGTTCCATTTGCTGGACCTGTTTAATCAACTCTTCGGGGTCCCTGATTTGCTTTACAAACACCCTGTGTAGGAGCCGTCGGGCCCCTTCCGCCTCCCGACCTTCCTCTGCCAACCCACGACCTGAGATTTTGCTTTGGAGCATTTGGTGTAGACGTTCGATGGCGCAAGTGCCCTCCGTGTGCAGCCAGACGCAAAGGGCCGTCGGGTGGCGCAGGAGCGTTTCGCCCAGAACGGCGAAGGCCAGCTGCGTTTTGCCCAGTCCCGCGGCGCCATGCACGTCGTGAAGCAACCCACTCGCCAAACCGCCCCCGAGCGCCGCGTCCAGTCGTGGCAGACCCGTCGCGAACAACTGGCGATCCGCGTCTCGGTCGTAATCTCGGTTGTGTTCTAGCTCGCCGTGTTCTGACTTGCCGACGGAGATGGCCTTGAGCAAGGCAATCAACGACGCTCGCGGCGGCGGTACCGTGAAGGAAGCGGCTGGTGTCATGGCACAAAGTTTCAGAAAGCAAGCCCGTGGAGAGGGACCGCGTGGCTGGGGGCCGTAGCGTTGGGCCCGAGGAGCGTTGGGCTCGAGGAGCGTTGGTTAATATAAAAAGGTCACCAGTTGGCTCCAGCGGGGACGCCGCCTCGGAGACGGTTCACGTTGGTGTTGGGCTTGGTCTTGTAGCTGGCTTCGGCTTGGGGTTTGACGTAGGTGAAGCCGACTCCGACGGAGCGGAGCATTTCGAAGGTATCGTCGTCAACCTGGACTGGGTCGGAGCACTCAGTGATGCTGACTTCGGGCATGACGTCCATGCGACGCTCGCGCTCGGCCTGTTGCACGGCCAGCGAGATGCCACGCACGTTTCCGCTGCGAACACGCTTCATCAAATGCGTCACGAACCCAGCGATTTTGTTCCGTAGCCGCTTGGTCGGAATCTGAGCAACCTCCTCCGCAATCTTCTTGTTGATTTGGAAGTCGCAAGTCAACTTGTTGTGGTACTTCTCCACAATCTGGCGAGCAGAACGCTTCACAGTCTTCGTACGAACGCGGCCCTAAACATAACACATCTAATGCAGCCCACCACGGCTGGTGCAACGCCGTCGCCACTGTGTCGCCACACACGTGTGTGTATGATAGCACACAAGTGATTGCGTATAACACAGTAGCCCTGTGCGACCATAACACCAGTCACACCCGCGACAACAAGGTCCCCGCGACAACAAGGCCCCGGCGACAACAAGGCCCCCGCGTGCCCCCGAAAGACAGGTCAGTGGACTTTAAACGGCTTCGGAATTCTTCCGCCGTGTGTTGAAGATTTTGCTTACCATGGTGTTAGTTGACTTGACTCGCCCAGCAACAACAGCTTCGCAAAAAAAAGGAGACAAAACGGCCAGGAGTTGAGCAGTGAGCTTCTTTCATGTTATAATACGGCACCCCAACTTCCGGAACGCCTGTTGGATCTTGGACTCATCCCTAATTATCAAGAATTGCCCGCTAGGGTGAATGACTAGACCACCTGAAGTACACATTACATACCCCTCATACATACCCCCGTGAAGAATGTATTTTTAATTCGTCTAAATGGAACACTCCATTTTTAATTCGAACACTCCTGGTCCTCTTGCGGTCTCCGGCAGATGGGTGTACCGTGTCTGTGTGTGTGTGTCCGGTAACGAGTGTGTGTCCGGGCTTACTGTTCTGGTTGTGATAAGAGGAGACGGAGGGGATGGCTGTTTCAGGGCTTGTTGGCAGCGTAGCTGCCTTGGGGGGTGGCGGCGTGGTCGTAACGTGGACCGGCTGTGGTGGTGGAGCGATCTGGCTGGGTTCACGGTCGACTGGCGCACGGTCACTTGGTCCACGGTCACTTGTCCCACGGTCACTTGGCCGTTCAGGTTGGATTAGGGGCACCGGCGGGGGCGCCACGGCGACCGGGGACGGTTCCGGGATGTTCCGTGTTATGCCCGGTTCCTCCGAAATGATGTTGCTTCGAGGCTTCTGCTTCGGCACCGCCTTTGACTTCGCCTTCGCCTTAGCCTTGGTCTTAACCTTCGGAGCCTGCACCGGCGCAGCAGGCGGCGCCGGCTTCGTACTTGAAGGCGCAGCCGCCCCTCGGGCGTTGATCTCTGCCAGGAACGGAAGCACAGGCCGAGCCGGGTCACTCATTTCACAAATAATAAATCATCGGTTAGCTAGACACCCCCCCCTGCGTCACTGACGTTATCCCCTCGCTGTCACCAGTGCGCGAATGTCTGCCCCGCTGCGAATCTCTGCCCCGCTGCGAATGTCTGCCCCGCTGCGAATCTCTGCCCCGCTGCGAATCTCTGCCCCGCTGCGAATCTCTGCCCCAAGTCTGTGCCCACCCGGGCAGTGATGCCTTCCTTATATTCTTTTTTGGATTAGAAATGGATACTGCGTCCGTAATACGGTCTTCCTGGTCGCTCTGGCCCTGCACTAGGGCCGAGGCTAACCAACTGGAAGTGCCGCTGGGCCTGGTATACACTCCGTTCGCGCTGAGCCAGCCAGTGCAGGTCGTGAACTACGATCCGGTCAGGAGTCGCCAAGGTAATACGATTCTCAGCCCCGTGTGCCACGTGGACTTCAGAGCCAAGGTATGAGACTACTTCCACACATGTCACGGCCAGGCCACACCGCCAGACGTCACGGCCGCAGACGGTGGCCACCAAGTGTTTCCACTCAATGAGGAATACTTGATGAGGAACACTTGCACACCAAGTGTTTGCACTCAATGAGAATCTTTTAGGTATGGAATGACCCGATTTCGGGTGGGAGGAATGCGTTCCCTCCATTGTACGCAAGTCAAATATCGGAGCAGATGCTGCCGGCTGAGTTGACTCACCCGGCGATGGATTACGTGTTGAATGGGTCCACGAAGACGAGGCCGACTGTGTTGTTGGTAGTGGACACGGCATTGTACGAGGAGGAATTGGAGGCGTTGAAGGACTCTTTGCAACAGGCGATTACGTTGTTGCCGAGCGACACACGAGTGGGGTTGATTACGTACAGCACGAGTGTGAACATTCATGAGCTGGGTTTCAGTCAGTGTGTCAAGAGCTACGTGTTCCGAGGCAACGCGGAGGTAACTCAGAACGACATGATGCGTCAGTTGCGTATCCATAAGAACAAGACCGGCGGCGCTGTGAGTGAAGCCGAAAGGTTTATTTGCACGCTTGAGAATGTCGAGAACACCTTGACCAAGATCTTGGATGACCTGAACCCATCCTCCTGGCCTACTCCTCAAGACAACCGACCTGCTCGTTGCACTGGAGCCGCCCTATCGGCTGCCGTGGGCCTAATGGAACTTCTCGCATATCAACAACCTGGTCGCATCATGCTATTTTCAGGAGGAGTGTGCACCACTGGACCAGGCATGGTTGTCGGTCCCTCTCTAGCGGATACCATCCGACAACACCAGCACATTCAAAAGAGCACCAAGGAGGCGAGCCTCTCGGGTCCGGCCTGCGCGTTTTACCGAGGACTCGCATATCGCGCGATCCAGAGCGGACACGCGATTGACCTGCTCTGCTGCTCGCTCGATCAGACCGGGTTGTATGAAATGAGGATCTGCAGCGAGCGCACAGGTGGACTCTGCGTCATGAGCGATACCTTCTCGCTCAACGTCTTCAAAGACAGCCTACGCGAAGTCTGCAGGGCTGCCGGACCCCAAAGCGCCCAAGCCTACAACGTCAAGGTCGAAGTCATGTGCAGCAAAGAAGTCAAGGTCGCAGGAGGCATTGGCTGCGTCACAAGCACGCAGCGCAGAAGCGCCTGCGTTAGTGAGAGCGTCGTCGGCGAAGGTAACACCTGCGAATGGGTTTGCGGCGTTATGGACGCTAGCTCCTCGCTGGCTATATATTTGGACGTGGTAAACAATAATGCCGCTTCAGTCAAGAACAAAAATGGTTATGTCCAATTCCAAGTCTCGTACATTCATCCGAATGGAGAGCGCAGAATTCGTGTGCACACGATTTGCTACCAATTTTGTGATGGCGGAATTATCCAACTAGGTAGCGGCTTCGATCAGGAAGTTGCCACTTGCCTCATGGCGCGCCTGGCCGTGTACCGAGCCAATAAGCGAGAGGATGATAACTACTCTGGCGGCAATGCCATAACCAGTTTATTCAATACCATCACTGGCGGCAGCGGGAACACTGCCAACGCTGTGCCTGCGTCCTCAAGCGGCAGCGCTGCGCCAGTCGAGGACCTGATCGACATCATCAGGTGGCTGGACCGAAAGTTGATTCGGCTTTGTTCTGTTTTTGGAGAGTACGAGAAGGACAAGCCGGACACGTTCCAGCTGAATGTAGAGTTTGAATACTACCCCCAATTTATGTACCATCTGCGCAGATCACCTCTTTTGGACTTGTTTAACTCCAGTCCCGATGAGACGGTGTACTATCGGATCTGCTTGTTAAAGGAGACGGTGGCGAATACGATGACCATAATTTGTCCCAGCTTGCAACAATATACGCTGAACAGCAGCCAGGCTCAGTATCAGGGGGCTCAATACCAACAGGGCGATTCGAGCATCGCTCCTGTGCCTTGTCTCTTGGATTCGACGTCGCTGAAGAACGATTGCATCTTACTGATGGATGACTACTTCCACGTGATCATCTGGCATGGTTCACTGATCAACAAGTGGGTAGAAAGCCAATATCACCTGCTGCCCCAATACCAGAACCTAAAGGCTCTGTTACAGCTACCCCAGATGCACGCAAACCTGCTACTCAAGTCCCGAATCCCTTGCCCGAAGTTCATTTCTTGCAATGCTGGCGGCAGTCAGGAAAGATTCATTCTCGCCAGGGTGAATCCTTCGAGCACGCACAAACAAGGAGCCGGTTATGACAGTTATGGCGGCGCAGGGGACGACGGTCGAGGAACAGCCATCTTGACTGAGGATGTCAACATGAAAACGTTCATGGATCATCTTATAAAACTGTCCGTCTCATCCTAGCCCGACTCGGGCTTGGTATTTTTAGAAAGCTCCTTTGTTGGTGTAACTAACGCTCGTATCACCACCAGCGTTCGTATCGCTGATGCTGGTTGACATGTTCTGGCTGGTACCAGTTGGCTCATTTTCGAGCTAGGTTGAACCTCGGGCCTAGTTGGA